AGGTCATGAGGGTGGAACCTTCATGTGTGAGATTAGTGCCAATATAAGAAATGATATAAGAGAAATGATCTTTCTTTCTCTGACATGTGAGGATAAAGCAGAAGGTGGCTATCTGCAAGCCAGGAAAATAGACTTCACCAGATGCAGGATCTTCTGGCATCTTGAACTTGGACCTCTAGCCTCCAGAACTATGAGAAGTACATGTTTGTTGTTTAAGCTATTCAGTCTATGGTATTGTTATAGACTGATGTAAGACACTCATTGTGTAATTTAAAGCCTCAATCTTGAATTTTACTTCTTCCTCTAAAAAACTCTATGGTCATAAGCAGTGAAAGATCCACTAGCATAGAACCCTGACATAGGAACTTGATTCTATTCTGTCAGGAACCTCATGGTGACAAGTGATATAAATAAACCTTTTCTCAAATTAATAAAGACAAGAAAGGAATTTATTTGTTCACATAACTAAAAATTGCAAGGGTGAAGTACAGTTGAATTTAGGAATGTGAAAGTGGTCATTAACCCTTTTGTTTACCCTTCGACATCATTCTTCTTTGGACTGACTTAATTTGCAAGTGATAGGAAAGATGGCTTCTCTACATCTCAAGGTTTTATGGTCATTCAGGTCCAAATCCCAGAGTAAGTGACTACATAGCAGCTTCCTTGAGTGTTCAGATATCAATAGAAGAATGCTAATTGGCTCTGCTCCATCAAATACCTCTCCCTTTGAATAAAGGATTATGGCATCATTATACTCCTAGACTGGAATATATGCTTTATCCAAGAGTCATTGAAATTTTCCTACATGTTAAAATACACCAAATGGCAATTGTAGAAGTTCAACATTAAGTCTTGTACACTACTTCAACTTTATCATTTTTAAATAATCCGCCCTTTGGGGAATAAATTTTAATGTCTTCCTATTTGCAAGATTTGTTTTCAGTAATTTCAGTAAAGCAAAAACCTTTTTGTTCTCTATTTTTTAAATAACTTGATCAAAGGTTTTCAACTTATTTTTGAACATTGTATAACCACAATCTGTATGACTCATTTTCTTAGTTTCCTAGGGCTGCTAAAATGAAGTACTACAAACTAGGTGGCTTAAAACAATAGAAATTTATTCTCTCATAGTCTGGAGGCTACAAATCGGATCAAAAGTGTTGTAGGGTCCTGCCTCTAGAGATCTTTATTTGCCTCTATCCTTGGCATTCCTTAATTTTGGCTGCATTTATAACAGCATTACTCCAACTTCTTCCAAATTCATCTGGCTATTTCACTATATATTTGTCTGTGTCCAAGTTTCCCTTTTCTTATAAGGACAACCATCTTCGGATTTAGAGCTCTCTGTAATCCAGTATGACCTTATCTTAACTTGATTACATCTACAAACTGCCTATTTCCAAGTAAGGTCATGTTCATAGGTATCAGGGGGTAGGACTTGAACATAATGTTTGAAAGGGCAAAAGTCCACCCACTGTATTTTTTTATCCAGAAAATTCAATATTTTTGTAGTATATTTAGATTGGTTTTCAGATTGGTTCTCTCAAAGAATAAAAAATTCCTAAAGTTAATTGAAAAATTTTAAAGAGAAAAAACATATTTTTATGTTGAAGTGTTCAAGTTCAGTATCAACTTTGTCATAATATTCTATAGTTCATTTTCTTTGTGTATATATGAATACTTGTAAATTTCTACAACTTCAGCTTCCATTTAGGTTGATTCTTTCCTGAAGTGTTTGGAAGCAATTATGAATTACAGATAAGGATGCACCCTAAGTAAATGGAGGTAAGGAAAGATGCAAAGCAATGCAAGAACCACCTCACTGCACATTGAAGGATATTTAGCAGATATGCTTTATCAACACACAAGAATTCTCCAGAAGGGCTATATATAACATTGGTCACCTTCAGTTGGTCTGGACTGGCTGTGTGTTTATCCCCAGAGTCCTATCCTTGGCAACACTATGGTATTTAATAACTAAAGATAAACAATATTCTTAAGTCTGATGTCTGTAAGTTGCTTGGGACAGGATGCCTGTCAGGATTGTTTAGTAATAATTGCATATGGTTTGTAGCAGGTTACAGTAGAATCTGGGAATGGGGGTGATTTCCAGTGGTTAAGACTTGTCATATAGCTAAAATATGACCAGTTTTTTTGGTAAGAGACCCTCCCAGCAAGTAGTTTTGAGCTTTCTGGTGCTGAGGCACTTTACATGCCCTCCATTAGTGCTTTAAGACCTAAAGATAAAGAAAATTCTAGGCTACCGAGCAGTGGGAACGGATAAATTTGTTCCTGAGATCTTAGCACCTTTTTGAATGCATATCTTGTTCCTGCTGTTGCTGTACTCTATCCTTTGCCTGGAATAAAGCTCTTTTTTGCTGGTTTAAACTGTTTTGAGTCCTCCAAATCCTTTTGGTAATCAAAAATTTAAGGTATGTACTTAACAAAGGCTGCACAGAATTACTGCAAATGAAGTAGGAGTTCATTTGCTTCTCTCCCAACTCCTGCTTCCCATTTTCCAAATTTCACCCTAGTAAGGGTGAAACCATGCATTATCCAGCCACTCCAAGGAAACCAGGTCCTCCGACCTAATATAGAATTGCATTCAAGTCCAAAAGTTACAGAGGTGATTTTGCATTGCTGAGGCCCCACATATAGGGAAAAAGAAGCCTTGGTCAAGACACTGGAGAAGAAGCACATGATTTTAAATGTAACTTACATTTAAAATTTTAAAGAGCAACAAGCATGAGTATAGAAAAGTACAAACATTAAAATAAATTATCACAAAATAACCAACACTCAGGTTAAGGGAAAGAATATCAGTACAACTGAGAGCCACATCATGTGTCCTATCAAATTCTGCCTGCTCTCAGGTAATCTCTAGTCTAAGTTATATCACCAGAAATTAGTTTTTTATTGATTAAGACAGATTCTATTTATGGGGTTGTACACTTTGTGTCCAGCTACTATCATTCAATTTTATTTAAATAAACTGTATCCATGCTGTTTTGTGTGGCAGTAGCTCATTCATGTTAATTACATAGAATATTCCACTGTTTACCACAAATTATCCAAAATAGTGTCGATTCACATTAGTGTTGATTTTAGTTTTGGATATTAAGACTAATGCTCCTAAAACATTGGTGTATATTTTTAGTGCACATATGTACACGTGTTTCTGTTGGCTATGTACCTAAGAGTGGAAACACCAGTCCTAAGATTTGCAGATGTCTATTTTTGACAAAGATTGACACAGGCTTCCCAGGTGCTTGTGCCAGTTTACATTTACATCATAAATTGCTTAGCATTTGTTTGTTTGTTTGTTTTTGCAAACACTTGGTATTGCCAATTTTTTTTTCCATTTTAGACATTCTGATTGTTGTGTCATATTATGTGCTAGCTTTAATTGCATTTTTCTGAAGGCTAATGATGTTGAGCACCTTCTCGTATGAATACTGGCAATTAAGATATCCTCTTGGTGAAAACACTTATTCAAATAAGTCTATTGTCTACATACAATTATATTCGTTGTCTGTCCTATTGAAATATGCCCAGTTAAATTTGAGCAAGTCAGACTGGATCCAGATGAAGAATTATGTTTGGCCATGCCAAGTTTATTAATTAAAATGAGATATTAATTAAATACTCAGGTGTGGAAGCCAAGAAGACAAGTTGAGTGCATGAGTTTGGAGTTCAGGAACAAGTAAGTTAGAAGATAAACATTTAGAAGCTTTCAGTCTGTGGATGGATTTAAGGCGTGGAATTAAACAGTATCAGCCAGGGTAACGCTAACTCCTAGGGTTCTCGAGTCATTAAGTGTTTGGAAAAAGAAATGTCAGAAGGGAGACTGAAAATAAGTGGCTACTGAGTTAATATAAAAAGCAAGGGTTTAACAGGTTCAGGATTTCAAGTGAAAAGAAGTATATTTCAGAAAAGAAGGGATGGTCAACTCTACCAAATAGCACTGAGAGATTAGGTAAAAGGAACACAGATTTGCAAGGTGAAAGTTCTTGGTAACCTTGAAAAAAGTGATTTCCATAGGGACAAAAGCTTGATGGGAGCAGGTTAATGAGAGAATAGCATATGAGACAACAGCAGTATTATGGATACCTCCTCTATGATAGTTGCCACTGAGGAACCTGAAAAACTGGGAGGGCCTTGGAGATGCACTGCTAAAGATGGGATATTTTCTTTAACGATAAGATAAATGGTAGCGCAAATTTGGCTTGCGCTTGATCCTGAGGGTAAGGAGAACTTTGAGGAAAGATGAAATACTTTCTGGAGACAAGTCATTGTGTAAGCTCATGGGGATGGCCTAGAGTGCACTAGTGCAAGAGTTGGTAAGAGGGATGAGTCATTCAGTGAAACAGTTACTCCACAGTCAGACACAATGACTGTCAGAGCGTCATACAAGTTTTGTTTTCTTGGGTATTACTGGCTAAAACCATGCAATCCCGCTTATTCTGACAGTGATACTGGTTCTTCTGCTTTGGTGTAAGTAGCATCAATAACATGCAACAGCAGGGAACACTTACTATGTACTGTACAGTGCTCCACTCACATTAAAACTTCAATGAAAGCCTTTGAATTGACTTTTGTAGACGTAGACATGGAAGCTGTGAAAGATTAAGTAACTTTCTCAGCACCACTTAGCTACCATGTTGTAGAACTGTGAATCAGATTTCACATTTAAAGCTTTTTTTTTAAATCTAGGGTGACCATAAATTTTAACATCCATGCTGGGTACTTTTGAGAGTGAAATGTACATGTATAATAGTTTAACTGGTACAATTGGTATAAACCAAGACTTTCTAGAGCAAACACAGTGTATGGTCCCCTATCTTCTCCTCCATGTTTTGACATCCTTTAATACCCAATTTAAAACATTCTATTCAATTTCAATTCTTCCATGACTATTTTTAACATCTTAAATTAACATTAAAAAGGCCAATTATGTTTAAAAATTATAATAAAGACAGGAAAACTTAAATATGCCTAAAGGATTAATTTATTGACATGACTGGTTTTAGGAAATAATTTCTTAAAAAAAAATAATAAGCACAATTCCAGAAACTATTTGCATACATACTTTTGGTATGCTTATGGCATTTCCATCTCAAAATTGAACTCCTATGATATTAGTTGAATGAAAATTTGGAAAATGCAAAGTTGAATGAGTTGAATTCAAATCAAGAGGAATGCCAGATAATGCATAAATAAGTAAAGGAATAAATTTTCACTTTTTCCATATAAAAATTTTTTTCCCTTTAAAAATTCTTCTTTTAAAAATTATTTATTTTTGGTAACATGATACAGAGATTGAAAGGATGCCACATTTCCAGTCGCTGTCAATTCTGTGGAACAGAGAACAAACAGAGAATTAGTTCTTTTATATGTTGTAACTATTCATCTCTCCCCATTTGTAATATTGGTGTAACTAATTCATAAAAAATTTTTTATTACACATGTACCATGATGGGTCCTACATTGGAGGCATATAAAAGTGCCTCTAGGGCCAAATGTCAGCTCACTTGGATTTTGTTTTAGTGAAAAATCTAGTCTATTATCACCATAAAAGGGTCTGTATTTAAGAATCTCAGAGCTGTCTTCTCTCCCTTTTTTAATCCTGATACCTGGACTAATTAATTATGTTTGACTCACACATTAAATGGTAATATGTAAATTTTAAATGAGATGGAAACAATTGCAATTTATGAAGCTCAAGTTATAAGTAAGAATGTACCTTAATCATTTAAAAATGTTCAAATACATTTGCATAAAAGAAGAAACTATTTTCAGTTTTTCCTAAAAATGATGATAATCAAGCATTAAGACATAAGCATTTGAAAGTAAACTAATCAAATCTGTCAATGGCACATAACTAAAATTTAAAATTATTTGAAATACCAAAGATACATAATTTTCAGTCAGTAAATAATATTCAACCATTGAGATGTCCACAACAGATCAATAATTATGAGTAAATTGGTATGTTGATGGAATTTGTTACTTTAGGACTTACACAGAACAAAATGTAAAAAGATACTAACTATAAAAATGATAACTTTAATCTCCAAACTCCCAAAGCTTACCAAAAGTAAGAAGAGGACATTAACTCTGAAATCCTTTTAGACCTTAAAAAAAAAATTTTGAAGTAAATAAGTATACAATTCACTCTTTAGCAAGAACACTTCCCTAAGAATTCTGTGAGTAATGAAATAAGCATCTAAATTGTTTGCCTTTGTGTACCAAAAACAAGGTGTGTGAAATATTACATGGAGAATAGATGTGCATAAGAAAACCTTCAAAACCGTAGAAAATAAACCTTCTTTATTCTAAACCCAATCAGATTATCAAATTTAATTCTGCTTTAGAATGCCTTAATCCTCTTTACCTGAATTCTCAACAGATCAGTTAAATCAGAATCTCTGAAATAATTTGTTCCCAATACTAAGTATCTTCTACACAGAAAATCAGAACCATTATATCAGAATCTCTATGAGTAGATTTAGACTTTGAGATTTCGAGAAAAAAAAAGTTCTACAGATTATTCTAGTGTAGCAAGTGTTGAGAATCACTGATCTAAATTATGTGCATTTTTGATTGATTCATTATTCATTTATTCTTTCATTCTAGATCTCAGTTTTTCCAACATTGTAACTGAACAGCAACAACAGAATTAGTAAATATGGACTTACAAAAATGGGGTTGGAAACTGGGGCAAGTGGTTTAGTCACAGGGTAGAACTCCTGGGTGGAGTCCAGTAGAGGCTCCTGATACAGCAGAAGGGCCTGGACAGGCATATCTCTCTGGGGGTAGGGTACCACTTGCTGGGGTAAAGTCAGGACTTTGGGCTGAGGAAGGGATGGCAGGGACTGAGGAGGAATCAGCGGAGTCTGAGGAAGAAGCCGGGGGACCTGGTGCACAAAGGGCTGGAGCAGAGGCAGAGCAAAGGGATTCAGGGTTTGGCGTTCTGTAAAGGTCGCTGTTGGAGATTCAAGAATGGGCATCAGTTTGCGCTTAGGCAACATGGTCTGCTTAGTTTTGGGGACTTCCGTTATTTCAGGCTGAAGGAAAGGCAGCACCATAGCAGGCCGAGCAAGAGGCAGGACATTTTGTGTAAAGACAGTGTAAGGGATGGGCTCAGTGTAAGGATCGACTAGAGGCTGTGGCTGGAGAAAGGGGTGGATTTTATCCTGGCGTTCATCCTGGAAAGAAGGAAAAAACATCTTTGAATCCTTATAATAGTCATTCATGAGGATTAACCGTCTCTCTTTTGCACAGTCATGACTGAGTGAAAGAGAATAATGAAAATCTTTTACTTATTTTGGTTAAGAAATTATTCTGGGTTATGTGAGGACTAATGAGTCTCATTGAGGGATTTTTCATTAACCCACTTCCCTCATAGAAGAATCCACAGATCTAACTGAAATCAATTATTAGGATTTTAAGACTTCTTTCACTTTTTCCTGAGTTACAAATTACTTCTCTTTGTTGCTGCTCCTCATGTTTGAACTTTTCAAGTTTCTGCTAAAAAACAAACCACATATAAAGAAAAGTTATCATCTGTAAAAACTGAATGTAGGAAAATTTGAAACTATGCACATCTAAATATGAGAGTTTTACCTTGATATGTGTTATAGATTACTTAAAAAAATAAAAATAAATTAGGTTTAGTTCTAATGAATGATTCTTATTTGTCAATATAAATCAGAATATGAAGGTATTTAATAGGTTAATGTAGACATCTTGTTTGATAATATCATTAAAAACTCAGGAGAATTGCTGAAATTTATATGTTATACTATTCTGTGTAAGCCTGTTGTATAAAAAAGAGACAGATGGATGCAGTCAAGAGACTTAAAAAAATTGGTGAACATGTAACAAAAAAGGCATTTTAAGTGCTAATTTCTATTACTATGCTGTTCCTAAGACAACAAATGATCTCTAATATTACATCTAATTTTAAAAGAATAATATTATTGATAGTACATTATAATGACAATTGATGCATTCATTTAATCATTTTTAGTTCACTTTCTGTGTTTAGGCTTCAAAAGAAGTGAAAGAAATAAGGATATCCCCTAAGGATATTATAACCTTTGTGGAGAGACAAAGTTTAATATGTCATTTAACTAAGAGGTGATGACCGGCTAACAAGAGTGTTACAAGGGTCAGAACCTTACCTGTCTCTTCCAGGCAGATTTAGGACTTCAATAAATCTCAATTTCTTTTATTTACTAAGTAAACTATAGGAATCACAAAATGTGTCCGTTTGTATGTCTGCTCACTCACTATATTGCAAGCTCTTTCTCATGGGCATCCCTGTTTTCGGTCTGTAACCCAGCTCCTAGTCAATATCTGATCCACAAAAGGCATTTGATAAATGTCAAAACAGTGTATGAGAAAGAGCTCAAGACAGAAAACAGAACTGTATAGTTTATTCAAAAATTAGGAGACTCAGTGACATAATTTCAAGAAGTGAGCCAACTTAGTGCCAGAATACTGATTCTCCAGACATTTATTGTATCATTAAACATACACAGTGGAAATTTACATCAGAACATAGTTGCATTGACTTAACAGCCCTAATGTGACACAATAGAAAAAGAGTACCCATTATACTCTTCCTAGCTTGGGAAATTGCCACTGAATGAACATTGTCTAACCTCACTGCTTGGGAGTCTTTCTGCATTCTATAAAGGAAGAAAAACAAAAAAATAAAAATAAAAATAAAAAACCTACTTCTTCTACCTCACTGCATAATGTTACTACTTTATGGTTGGAAATTTCTCTGTGAATAAAAATATCTTACCACACCAGATACTTTGAGTTCTTCCTTCTGTGAAGAAAAAAATGCCATTTTAATTTCCATAGCCAACTCATTATTAAACATTTTTCCTGCTGCCCAATTCATGAATTATTAAAGCCAATTAGATTTCCAAAAATTTTTCCCCTATTTAATCTTTACTTCAATTATGCAGAGCTCTTTCCCAAATTTGAGAAATAAAACATGTTACAAGTCTTTTGAGAGATTTGAAAGGTAATTGTTTTTATGTCTTTAATATTTAGTAGCTTTTTATTAGTATATTTTTATTTTACCTGAATGAAGAACAGTTTTTGATAAGTAGCAAAAAAGGAGTTAATTTATATCCAACACTTTATTTTGATTACAATTATGTTTATAATTATGTTTATTCCCTGACACTGCATCCTCTGGATGTCTTTGGAGAGGCACAGTTAGGATTTGGCCCAGTGCCTGATAAGAGGTATATATATTTCATCACTAGAATAAGACATATTTATCCAAGTTGGGCATACATGCGATTATATTCATGCATTATTACTGTTCTTTTCATATTCCTTTCTTCTTATTTTGTCTGCTGCCTATTGTTTAGTTTACTTTTCCTTTCGGGACTGGTAACATAGTGGTATAAAAGGGTTTGACCCAGTTTTGTGGCCCTCTAGAAGGACAGTGTTGAAATAATGAGTAATGTAAATAATTGTCTAAGTCAAAAAAATATGTTGAAACTCTGCTTTATTTGTACACTTATGATGTTGATGGGCATAACCAGATAGTCCACTGTATCTTAATTACTTAGAGATTTTCTTACCTCCCTTGCAAGAGCAAGAGCCACCAGGCAGGCAAGGATAAGAACCTTCATGGCTCTCCAGTCCTGTGGATGGTGAAATGAGGCAGTAGTAATATAATGGTCCATCTAATATATTTTCTTATTTAGGTAGGGTTACTTACCTTTTAAGGAAACAAAATAAAATGCATAAGAAAAATACCTGTGTTTTAGGAAAAAATACTAATAGAAGTTTTATCATATAGCCAAGGTCAGAATCTACCATGGCTCCTTACTCTTACATGTCAATTTCATACTTCATTGAAAAAACCATGCAGATTATTTCAGCTATAAGCCATATCTTACCTCACTCTTTTTATTTCATTCATAGTACTATGGGTTTTTTATTTTTTTGAAAGACAAAAAAGAGTTTTATGTATTTACAGAAAAAAAATGATTCATCAAATCATTTGTTTAAAAAAAGTATTTATTTGTTACTTTTTATTGCCAGACATTATCTAGATGCTAGGATTATAGCAGTGAACAAAATATTAAGGTCTCAGCCCTAATGGAGACTCAAATCTACTGGGAGGAACTGATCAAAGAAAATGTATACAAAGAAGATCATATTTTATTTTTATCTTTCCTTTACTAAACTACCAGTTTCATGAATATTTGGTTTAATTATATCTCCCTCTTTCCAATAAGACTGAAGTTTTCATTTGAGCATTTCCTTTATTTGCTGTATATATCCAGGTGCTTTCTGGGACTGATTGGTTTGTTTTTCTCCATTTACACTCACTATGCAGTCCTCATCCCCACAAAACTAATGGTATCTATTCTCCCTTGTGTCATATAACTTTAGAGGTTATATACTATGCTTATTCTTTTCTCTCTGATCTCTTGCTGATTTATCATAGGGTCAGTTTCTCTATGCCAATCTCAACTATGGGCTATCTCCTCTAATAACACAACGTAAAATGAACGTTAATTAACACTTTTGATCAAAAGATACTAACTACTTGGTTTTGTTGTATTTCTATAATTTTTCATAAAAAATAATGTTTAGACCACCAATAGGCCTTGACATACAATCTTCAATCTCAGATTTTTAAGCTAAATTTCTGAATTAAAACTATTTCATGGAAAACTCCCTAATTCATGTGAAAAATGTCCTTTCCAATATTTGAAGTCTGAAAATAATTCTCTTTATTAGGGAAAGATATTTTTCTAGATTTTTCTCATTGATGCTATTAATTTTTATTAATTTTACTCTGCCTGAGACTTCCATAAGTTTCCAAATAATTTTTTATTGTCAAGACTCAAAAAAATAATACAGTAATCTATTAGGGATCATTATGTGTAGGGAGAATCCCATTGAATTTTCTCTATTTTATAATTAGCATTTTATATACTAATTTTTAAGAAAGAACTTCAATATATTGACTAATATTCTAAGGTACTCTTTCTTTCAAATTTTCTCTTTCCTTTTTTCCCAAATCATCTCTATCCCATCTAGAATTTCTGACAAAGTAAAACACTTGTTCTTTTTTAACTTAATTCTGAATTTTGTATGTTTGTTTTAACATTATTTTGAAATATTATAAACTAAATGATAAAGAGAGAAATTGGATGTTCTAAATAAGTTTGATGAATACATTCTACTTCTAAAAAAATTTATTTATAAGCTTTTCAAGTAGTACATGTCCCTAGTTACTGCAATTTCTTGATTCAGTGTGCTACCTCTCTAAACTACCTGTTGTAGAAAGCTTTCCCAATAATTAAGCATATTCCCATACAAGAGTTTAAATATATTTTTGTTCTAGTGGCTGTGGTATATTTAAACAGATTGGAAGACATTAAATTCAGGAAATAGACCTTTTAATATAGCCTATTAACTAGCCTTGCATTAAAAAAGAATAATCACTGTTACTACATTTTCCTAGACTCATAAAGCTTATGTAGTCAGTATAATTTTTACCAAATCTTTATAGATATTACTGTTTTTTTAACCAAAGTGTTGAAAATAGTATCAGCACTATTTTAAATACTCTTATTTCAAATATCATATTTTAAGCAATTGTTTTCTTTATATATTTCAACCTAGTTTGACATAAATGTGAAGTGGGATTATATTGAATTTATATCTGAAAGTCTTACCTTTTTTCGTGGAGGACAAGAAGTGAAGGAGGAGTTAAGTGAATGACTGTCTACTTTTGTGGCTGTTATATACTGTATTTAGTGGCATGCTAATTTTGTGGTTTGAAATAAAATCAATTGTGAGCTTCAATTCCAAGAAGTTCACATGATTAGAAAATGATTTCTGCCTACTATCTGTCCCCAGAAATTCTGGGGAGCATTTGAACAAGTGAGCAATTCACAAGCTGATAAAGGAAATGTGTCCAGGGAATGAAGGGAATGAAATTGTCTAATAACTAAAGGCAATGACTATAGGACAGTGAGACTGTGGCCAAGTCCCCAAGTTATTATGCTCTCTTTAGCATTTGGTGTGTCCTCGAGATCTCAGTTGTGGGGGAATTTTGTGTGAGCACCAGAGACACAAAGGACCCTCACAAAAGCCACAGTTCCGTGCTAACCTGAGCAGTTGTTAGTATTTTATGCCACAGAGGAGAAACTGACAAGATAAATCCATGATGATTGCTTAGTCACAAAAAGCAGACCACTAAGCTCCCAGACCCCTTGATTTGGAAAAAATTAATCATTCACAAGGCAATGAACTTTCCTCCATAGTGAAACATCTCAGAAAAGGAATCTGAATGCCTGGTATAATTAAAGTCCTTGTTAAATCTGTAATAAAAGTTTTGCTTAATGTCATAGAGACTTATTTACCTGATAAATATTGATTGCCTTTTTCTATTGCAGGCATAATTATAATCACTTATTACCACTTTTTCTTTTTTTTTTACTTAGTACTAACTGTTATATATTAGGCACTCTGTACTTTACTGACATTATCTTCACAAAAACATAATCAGATAGCCACCTCTCCATAATTTGATTGAAGAAATTAAGACATCACAACGATGAGTAATTTGCCTTGGTACTCAAATCATATAAAAGAAATGCTGATACTTTTGATCAAAATATGCTAAATAGTTTTGCTGTCCTTCTATAATTGTGTGTAAAAATAATATTTGTGCCATGAAAAACCCTTTACACATAATCTTCAATCCCAGATATTTAAACTGAATTTCTGAATTAAAAATATTTCATGAGAAAAATTTGCTAATGGTGAAGATACCATTTAAAACCAGATTTGTCCAACTATCTGTGTTTCCATTATCATAGGCAGTGCCCATATTTTAACCCACTGAGATTAGTTATAAAATTTAGCTGTCAATGTGCTTTTGATTTTAATTAGAATTTATTTATTCCTAGATTGGGAAAATGAGGCACTGGGTGCTTGATTCTGGGCCACCAGTAGGGTGGTCATTAAGGAACTGTTATTTCAGTTGCAACTTAAAAGACTGAGTAGAATTTTGAGAAATGATTAAATGGGAATAAAGCATTTGGCTGAAGGAAATACAGGAGCTTAAAGAGCAAAATACCAGGTTTGATGAATTCTGTATTTTAGGATATATAAAGTGTATAGAGTATAAATTAAGATTGCAGGGGTTCTGTGGAGTCAGATCACAGAGGCCTTTGAATTGTAATTAGGCAATGTGAAAGAATTCACTGGATATAAGGGAAAATATGAGAAATGTGAAAGAAGGAAGGATTGCGAAGTTCCTTGGATTTTATGACTCTATGACAATACCTCAGGTAACTTATTAAGAGAGATTGTTATATCAGATTATTATAGTAGTCTGAGTCCAACATTATGATGGCCTCTACTAGCAAATGGTGCTGGGTATTTTAGGCAACAGAAAAACAAACTTGTCATTAAAATGAGAAATGTGAGATACCAAGGAAATTAATGAACTGGATATGCCTGAGTGATTGAAAAGTTAGCCATGTTATAAACCAAGTTAAGAAACCAAGCATAAATTAGAAAAGAGATACTGTGTTAAATTTGTATGTGGTAACTTGGAAGGTGTCCAGAAGGCTTTGTGATGCTTCAAAGTCATAAGTACAATTGTAGAGATTATTATTTTTTTTTTACAGATAAAGGAATAAATGAACTTCCCTAGGGAAAGAGAAGCAAGTGAGAAGAGAAATGGTCTAAGAATAGATCTTGAGTATCTTCTGTTATTCAGGGACTGGTAGAGCAAAGGAAATAGGGAAAACACAGAGTATCAAGGAGATGAGAGTAGAAGGTCTGGAAGCCACGGGAGGAAATAGCCAGAAAAAACAAATGGAGTCGAGTGGAAATGCTACACAGACGTGGAGTGAGGCGGGAGCAGGGAAGAGATTTTTGGACAAAGGGAGTCATTAACACTGTATCAATTGAGATACATTCCAAGTACTTAAGATGCAAGTAATGTGTGAGAAATTAAAAGCAGCACTACTTTTCTGAGATTTTACAAGAGGAGGTAAGGAGACCTATGGAATGGTATCTGTGCCTATAGGGGCAACCAGAATCACAGGAAGGTATTTTTAGGAGACAGATTTGTAGCTTAAGAGAAAGAAGCCAATGGGGAGAAAGAGCCTAAATACACCAGAAAGATGGGAATAAATTGATAGAAGATATTCCAGTAGGATCGGGGTCTCAGCCAAAAGAAGTAGACCTACACAAACTGTACCAGCTTTCCTGAGACAGGAGAAAAGAAGATGAGTAAAAATGATACATACCGTGTAATACAGGGTAGAGAAGTTGACATAAAATTATCTTAATTTTTCATTGAGGTGGGGGATGTGTTTCTCAGGTAACAGTGAGGTAAGTAGCTATGGTTTGGGGATATTTTAAGAGGGGAAATTTTTGTTTAACATGAAAATAAAGGTGAATAAAAGGATCCACAGCAGTAAGTAATATCTAGATGGAACTAGGAACAGATTGTTTTCCTTCCCATGTATGGCAAGATGGTTCCAGTATATTATCAATGGGTAGAGAGAGCTTTTGGGGTGGAGGAGGGTTGAATGAGGAGTATTTGAGTCAAACCTGAACACTAAAAAGGGCTGACTAGAGGTATGATAAATGGTAAAGACCA